TGTCCTTGGGCGCAAAGAGGCCTGGGGAAGCAGGGTGTGGGGGACATCCATGATAGGGCTGCTTTGTGCTCCCACCAGCATCCCCAGAGCAAGGAGGAGAAGAGGTTGCTGGCAGTGCAGGCAGTGATGCTCTTACCCATCAGGTGGCTTACAGAGTCATCCTCTACTGCATCCATGCCCTTCTTGTCCCAGACGTAGTGGGCGCCCTGCCAGTGAGAACAGAGCTGGTGCCAACAGCATGTGCCCCATGCCTGGCATCATGTCCCATCTGCCTGGCTGTGGTACCTGCTTGGCACTCAGCCACTTGGCAATCAAGTCGAGGCCATCCTTCCTGGTGCCATTCTGAGCTGGGTCCTCTGGGTACTCGGGATCTGCAGTCCGCTTGGGGGTCATGTACATCCGCCCGCCGCCCAGGATCACCTGCTGGGGAGCTCAGCAGACCTTCTCAATGTTCCCCATGCCCCCTCCCTCCCATGTCCACTCCCCAACTCACGTTGATATCTGTGTTGTGCACCAGCTGGTAGGCGATGTCCTTGCAGCCATCCCGCAATGCCTCCTTGGGCATGTTGGCATCGGCGTACCAGCTCCGGCTGGCCGAGTGGGCATAAGCTGCTCCTGGGGATGCATGCTGCACCCGTGTGGTTGTCACAATGCCCACCGACTTGCCTACAGAGTGGGCAAGGGTTTACAAAGGAGCCTGTCCAGCCCTGGGATGGCCATGCCATGGCAGGCTCTCCTTGTTGTGTTGCCTGCTGCTCCTACCTTCCAGCCTGGCCCGGTGCAGGATGGAGTCCACTTCGTTGCCAAAGGTAGTGCGGCATTTGCCGTAGACAGCTGCCCCACTCAACCCCAGCATCTTGGCATTGGCCTTCACCCCACAGAGGTAGGCTGTGCCTGTGCCAGCGCTATCGGGCACCTGCCGGTCGATGGTGTAGGTCTGGAAGCAAGTGGGGGACAGTGGGGTTTTGGACAGGGGCAACAGGGCAGCCCCCCAGTGCTGCCCCACTCACCTTGGCCAGGGCCAGGTAGGGCAAGGTCTCCATGGCCAAGATGTTCTCCTCGCCTGAGCCACCAGACAGCTGCCCCTTGTAGATCCGAGCCGCCGACATGGTGGACAGTCCCATGCCTGCAGGAACCGCAGTGTGGGGTGGCAAAGGGCTGGGGCCTGGGACAGTCCTGGCCTCCCCAGGCATTGCCCTGCACTGGCTGGGGAGGAGAGGACTTGCACCAGCCCCGCCTTCTCACCAGCCATGTCCCCTGCCTGGCTGGAATGCAGGGGACTCACCATCGCCCATGAAGAGGATGATGTTTTTGGCCCGCTGTGCCACTGGCTGCAATGCCAGGGCTGACTTCAGCCTCCTCCTGGCACTCTCATTCCAGTAGCCTGGAGTCTTCTCGGCATCTGGAGGCAGGAGCAAAGCTGGGGATGTGCAGAGGCATTCGGCAGCCTGAGGATCCCCAGGGGCATGCCCCCCTGGGACCAGGGTGAGCATCTCCACCGAAGGTGAATTCAGCTGCTCTGAGCTCCCTCCATGGAAGCATCAGAGGGACCAGGAGCCTTTCGGGGATCAGCCTGGTCTTTGGCAAGCTCAGCATTGCCCAGAGCTCATTTGCAGAGGGGGAAACTGAGGCAGAGTTTAGCAGGGAAGTTCCTTGTGCCTCTCAGCAGAAGGGCTAGTTGAGGTATCAGCCCCCTGCAGCGAGTGTGCAATGTCTGAGCAACTGCAGTTGGTTATGGCTATCGAGCTGCTTGATCCCAAGCCTGTCAGGGGCAAGGGGCAGCGGGGCTGGTGGAACAGGGTCAGGGCCTGCTTCGGTGGGGACTGAGACAAGCCCATTCAAAGGTTGGGGTCTCAAACCACCCTGAAGTGCCCTGGAGGGTCTGCAGCTGCTGGTATCCCATAAGGAGGTAACAGGGTCCCCAAAGAAGTGATATCAGCCCCAGTGCCTCCCACCAAGGGCTCCTACCCCCTTTTCCCATGTCCCATGTCACCTGAAGTTGCAGCAGCGAGCTGGACAAGGAGGCAGAGGAGAAGGCAGCTTCCAGGGAAGAGCAGCCACCCCATGCTGCCCACCCTAGCTCTCTCCTGGAATGCTGCCTGTGTTCAGGGCAGGGGGGACACAGCCTTTTATGGCCCTCCCCTGTCCGGCCGGTGGGCCCCTCTGCAGGTGAGACGATGGGCTGATAACATTCAGGGACTATCTCCCAGCCCTGCCCAGGGCCCTCCCAGTGTCCCCGGCCCCCTGGGGCCATCCCTGCCCCCCACCAGCAAGGGAGGACCTCCAGCTCCTCCCTGGGGACCAGAGCACCCAGCAGCCCACAGCTCCCATGGGCTCCCATGGGGCGGCTGCCTGCAGGACCCCAGGGAGTGCCAGAGAGGCACAGGACAAGCGGCACAGGACAAAGTGCTGTTTTTTGCAGGCAGGCTGAGCTAGGCCAGGCTGGATTGGCCTTGTTTCCAAGGAGGGGGACATCTTGCCTTTGGTGTCAGTGTCCTCAGGTCCCAGGGGATACAGTCCCACACTGCCTGTCATGCTCTGGGACTGCCAGTGCCCAATACATGCGGGTAGCCCGTGACAGCTCATCTGCACAGCGAGGTAACCTGCTGTGGGTAGCGAACGGCCCCATGTCACCAGCACCCAGTAAGGAGCAGAAGACACAGGGAGGAACAGGCTGCTCCCCGCAGCTTCCACCTCGGAAGGTGACATCCATGTGTGGTTGCGCCAGGCCATCTGGAAGGATGCCACCAGTAGTACAAGCCTTGGGGACCACAGGTGACCCTGATGGTTTCACAGTTTGCCAGCTCCTGGGGAGTGTTGTATCCAGCCCTGAACCATCCTAGCGCCCGATTCCCCATCCTGAGCTGGGCAGCCTGGGTTTGGCCAGCTCCTGGCTCCCGCAAAGGGCAGATGTGTCCATGCCAGGGCCACATGTGTCACCACTCATGAGGCAGAGTGAAGCAGGTCTCCCTCTCTGCCTGGCACAATGAATCCACTCCTTCACTCCAGACATCATCCCTCCACCAGCCGCTGCTCGTGGCTGCCCAACCCTGCAGGGGTGATGAAGTGGAGGCTGCTGGAGCAACTTACACTTCCGGGGACATCCTGCACAGTGTGGGTGGGGGACATGGGGATGGGGAGCCAGCAGAGGTGCCTGGAGATTTCAGAGGTGCTGGTTGGTCCACAAGGGGCTGGATGCTCTCTTGAGCAGCAGGGAGAAGCAAGAACATGGTGTTGCAGGGACCCTGAGGAGGGGTTAGACTGAAGGCCAGGGTGTGAGGGGCTCAAGCAGAAACCCAGTGACTCCTGGTGAAGGCTCAGACTGAGGCGATTAGCTGCCAGACCAGAAGCCTGAAGCACACATGTCAATCAGGTGAGGTGTCGAGGCCACTTGAATTTCAGAGTCAGGGAAACAGCAGGCAGGGGAAGGCATGGGGCTGCCTGAGAGATGAGTTATTGCTGGGATTCATGGCTGGGGGAACATGGAGGAGACAAAATAAAACCTGCGCAAGCCCCCCATGCAGCTGCTGACCCAGCTTTTATTTCATGATACACAACCCTGTAAGAAACCCTCCTGCATGGCCCCATGGCTGCTTCCCACTGTATCCCACCTGGTTGGAGGTGGAGCAAGCCCCTCTCCTCTCTTGGGGACACACATCCCCACTTGGCCCTCACCACGGGCACCCAAGATAGATGGGGATGGACACTGCTGCCTTAAAAAACAAAATCAAGCACCAAGCTAAAATACCCAAGAGCAGAAACACCCTCGCCTGGGGCAGCTCAAGCCCTGAGCCCTGCTCCTGGCCAGTTAAAATACAAACCAGAAATAAAATGGCATCGTTTTTAAAACAGAACCCCAAACTCCTCACGGGTCCTCTGTGTCCCCAGCGGGTGCCAGTGTGGGGCCTGGGAGGTGAGGAAGCATTGGCAGTGGGAAACACACACAGCCCAGGGTGCTCACTTCTCCGAGCTCTGTCTCTTGAGCAGGGCACTGTACTTGAGCGGGACGCCGTCCGATCTCAGGACCACCTCCACCAGCGTGAAAATGGTGATCACCTTCAGCAAAGTACAGAAAGACAGAGAGAAGAGGGGTTTTTGGCATCATATCAGGATTTACTTAGAGCTGTGCTGGCTTTTGCTGATTCAGCTGCAGCATGCATCAGGAACCAGGGAATGGGGCAGGACAGCTTCAGATAGCTCTGCTCAGGTCCAGGGTGCACCTGGGGCTGGACACAGCATCTTCAAGGGCAACACCACTTGGCTGCAAAGCCAATCAGGGAACCTGAACCCATCTAGATGGGCCTCCCAAAAAAACTTCAATTATTCTAGCCTGATAAGGCCCCACTCTTACTCTCCACAGTCTGGAAGGAGCATTGATGATTGAGCCCTTGTGTTTGCATCCCAACCTCCCCTAAAGCCTGTCCCTGTCTCCCTTCTCCAGCCAGAGAACACACATCATCCCTTAATGGAGCACCTTCATGCACATTCCCGTGTAACCTTCTCTAGGAGGCCCTCCCTTGGTGGGGGTTAAACTAAATGATCTCCAGAGGTCCCGTCCAACCCTAACGATTCTGTTATTCTGTGAACTTGGCCAAGCACCAACAGTGCTGTGGCATGAAGGGTTTCCCACACACGCTGAGCATTTTCTCAGCATTCCACAAGGGAACAACCGCCCTGTGCTCCCACAGTGAGAAGGGAAGGAAGAATGACGGATGAGAGAGACTTAAGAGAATAAGATCCCAGAAAATCAATCCCTCCTGTTCAGGAATGTGCTGCTGCCTGTTGCCATCTCCCCGCTCCCTGACTCCATGCAGATTAAGCAGCATAAAGCATTGATCATATCTATCCACAATGAACAGTTAATGGCTGGCTGGGACACTGGGAACGGGCTGCCCTGGGGCCATGGACAGGCATTTGGGGACTTCACTTGCTGGAGCCTGTCCCCAAGCCCTGCACTGAAGCAGGGCTGAATGGGGCCATCTGCTAGGGGCTGGCCCAAAGGAGAAATGGGCACAGAGCCAGTGGTGTAACCTTGTCAAACCCTTCCCAGCCCATCCAGTGCAGCCGCTCCAGATTAATCATTCAGAGCAGGGAAATCTCATTGAGACTTAAACGTATCAGTGGCCAGCGAGAAGCCAGCTACAGAGAAATTCTTCTGCAGACGGCTGCCCAGATAGCTGCTGGCTACCTAGCACCCTGCTTGCCTCAGCTGGCAGCAACGTAGGAGGTGGAGGCCATGGGGCAGCCCCCCACATCTGCGGGAGTCAAATAGGCATTATCAGGGCTCTCCCTTGCAATCCTGCCTCATCCCTTCCATGAACTGCTGGGGAACAGCATTATTTCACACCAAACCCTGCAAGTCTTAGATCCACTTCATACTCAAGCCGTAAGTAATGCACACTGAAGTCCTGATCATCTCCTGGAGCTTGGGGAGAGACGGAGGCAACACCTCCCCTCCATGGCAGGGCCAGCCAGTCCAGACCCCTGCACAGCTTCCCATAAACAGCTTTCCCAAATATTCCCACTGCCTGGCCACACTGAGCCAAGTGAGGAAGCAAAGGCCAAGTGTCAGAGTTGGGGGGGGAGCAGGGAGTGCTCAATGCGGGGTGTCCCAGTGACACCTCCTATGGTTCAGCCCAGCTCCAGGGGATCCCGCTCATCCCAGGGTTGGAGATTTATCAACTTGGGGATCTGCTGGCTCAGAGGACAGCACAGAGCCTGCTCCCAGGGGAGGGCTCCAGTATTTTCTTAGGAGGTGTGGAGGGTTCATGGAGGAGTTGCCTCTACTGCTGAGTGTTTTCTTAACCAGAATGGGCCCAGCTCATGCTGGGGCATCATTTTTCATGTGGGTCCCTGCTAGGGTGTAAGTGATACCCACTTCTGTAGGAAAGGAGGAACCAAAGCCACTTCGGGCTGCATCCAGGGGGATTCTCTGAGCCAAACTGAGAAAGGAAAGCTCAGCTTCAAAGGGAGGGAGGCCTGCAGAAATGCCTGCAGCAGCCAGGGAGTACTGCCAGCTCTGAACGGACATCTGGGAAGGAAAGGACTCCCAGGACATGCATCATATAGCTGGGAGAGTCAGCCTGGCCCTGTATTGGGAATCCTTTTCATCCAGCCCTAGGTGAACAAGGATGAGTTGTGCTGGGCTTGGCTGGAAATGGGGTTCACGTGCAGAGCCCCTGGGGCAGTGCAGGGAGAGGCTGGAATACAGCACTCCTGTCCCCGCCTAGGCAGCAGGCAGGGATCACAGCAGTCAACACAGCTGTGATTTTACAGTGATGCCAGACAAAAGTTGGCAAAGAAGCACTACTTAATCAAGCCAGACAAATGTGATTGCTCCTTTTGATTGAGTTACCAAGTTAATAGGTGACAGGGACACTAGAGAGATTTCTAGATGCTGTTAAACCATTTGACACTGCATCTCAGGAAGTCTGACTTAAAAAAATTCATCCTAATTGGGTCTCAACCCTGTCACAGGGATGTAAACCCAAAGGAAGGGTTGTGGCAGTGAGAGGGCAAGGAATACCAGGATGGGGGGAAGGCTCTAGACAGATACTGCCTTAGGCGTGATCTTACTTAACATCTTAATTGATGATCTGGAATAAGGAAGTAAACAGCCTGTTAATTCAGTTCCTGAAGAAAACTGAATTGGAAGACAGGGCACACAGCAGGCAGGGCAGAGTCTAAAGGCCATGGAGGGGTCAGATGAGGGGGCAAAGATGGGATGGAGGGGTTGGATGGCAGAGGCTGAGGCTGAGGTCAGGCCCTCTGGGGAGGGCAGAGAGACAGCAGGACCTGACAGCCTGGGAGGCTATCCTACCTCCTGGATCTGTCCCTGCAGACAATACAGACAGGATCCTCATGCTGCATGCAGCATGAGAATCCTGTCTGTATGCCAGCCCCATGGTGTTGTGAGCTCATCCCCTGCTCAGTGGTCTTACCTGGGGCACAGATTCCTGCTCTGGCTTCTCTGGCTCCCACAAGAGTGTCAGCTCTGGCTTCCTCCCCACCTTCCGGAAGTGGAAGCCCAGCAAGGGCAGCGCCTGCAGCCAGGGAAGAGTGTTGGGAACAGCCTGTGGCCCTGACAACATCCCGCTGCTCAGCTCTGCCCCTCCACTTTGCCTGTGGATGGGGACAATGCTGCTTTTGCCCAGCACGCTGCCTCTGCAGCTCTTTAACAACTGAGATGCAGCAGCCCATGAGCCTGAGCCCAGCACGTAAATCAGGGGGCTGCTGTGATACACAAACAGCCCATATATCATGCTGTATGTCCTGTTTAAAGATGTCATTGCCAGCCATATAACCAGGTTATTAAGAGAAGATGCTGTCACTAAGCACAGGTGCTGGCCTACAGTGGTGCTGTCACAGCCCCAGATGCACCATCTGATAAAATGAAATGAAAACCAGCCTCACTCCCTTCCCTCGCTTCAGCTCCATGTTGATCCCTGTCCCCCTGAATCTGTTTTTATTCCCTTTTACCTACACTAGATCACTCCCAGCACATAGCAGGGAGAAGCTGGTCCTCAGAAACTGAGCTGCTCCAGACACCTCCAGCCCCTCATGCCTACCCAAGGGCAGAGGGATGGAAGGTAGATCCCATGAAGGCTCCCTCCCCTCCAGCTAGCCCAGCTCGGGTCCAGTTCTGCTGGCACAGAAGGGCACCAGGTCAACCACTGCCTCCAATGATACCAGGCTGCTGCAGCCCTCTGGTGAGGCAGCATTGGCACTATCTCACACTAGTGAGGTACTTACATTGCAGTAGATGCGCTTCTGGACTCCAAACTTCAGCACCAGGACATCAAAGGCCTCGTTCAGAACACCCATCACCATGGCTTCTGACTCCAGAGGACCACACTCCTGTCAAAAGACAGGGCTGTCACTACACTGTTCGTCTTCCCCAAGGCCAGCTAGGCAGCCCCACAGCCCTCTGCCTGGTGGCATCTAGGCTGAGCCTTCATTGGGAAATCCAGAGATGCCTTGGGGTAAGATAACTTGGCTCTTACCCTAACGAAGATGCTGAAGAAGAGGTCAGCACTGAGCTCCTGCACCCTCTTGGAAGCCATCTTCCGGTCATTGCTGTGATCTGCTTGTCTCTGGATTGCCTCCTTCTCCATCTTGATGGGGGAGCTGGAACCTGGGAAGGGAACAAGTGACAACGATGTGCCCATGCTCCCTCCTGATCTAGAGCCATGCCATGGCACCCTGGACCCAGATGCTAAGCTCATCTCTGTCCTCCTGTTATTTGATAGCACCCACATGTGAGGCAGCTGCCCCAGAAGATGCAGCCTCCAAGCAGCCGGCACCCATGTCAGGCAAGGCAGGAACTGGGAGTCCTTCCTGTGCTGGGCACAGCCACCTCCTCCCCTCACAGCACCCAGAGCTGCACCGCAGGCAGCCAGTGGCACTCACCAAGTGAAGCGGAGAGGAGACGGTGCACAATGATGTCTGCGTAGCGGCGGATGGGTGAGGTGAAGTGAGTGTAGAAGGGCACGTTCAGGGCATAGTGGCGAAAGAGGGTCTCGTCCTCCAGGACACCAGTGCAGAAGTAGAGAGCCATCTGAAAGCGGTGAGAAATGAGGGAAGGGTGTGAGCAAGGATGGTGGCAGGATCCTTACAAGAGGCTGGAGGGGTCCACGTCTGTGAGACAATTCCAGCAGCTAATGGTCCTTCACCTGCTGCTAAGTTTGGGCTGCACAGGGACAAGATGGGTGCTGCAGGAACTGAGCACAGAGCAAAGGGGGCAAAGCCACTGCAGGGAATTGCTGGCTGCCAGCTGACCCTGCCTGGCCCCAAGGATTGCATCAACTTTCACATCACACATGGGTTTAAGCAGTCTCCTGCTTTTGCTCATGACCTGGTGCTCAATTGCCAACCTCCATCTTCCAGGGGAGAGCCCAGTCTGTCCTGTGCCCACTGTGGATGCCCTCCCAACAAGGGGTCTTGTAGAGCAGCTCCTGTGCCAGGCTCTGGTTCTGTGTCCGACTGCAGGCTCCACACCCCTACTGTGCCTGCTTGGAGAGCGCTGGGGGCTGGGATGAGTGGTTTCTTCATTCA